AGATCAAGTAACTGATTGAAGTACAGTAGCTTTCTAGTTAATTGGCATGCTATAGAGCATGAACACGTATCCAGCAGACAATTAACAAGTCTCAACGTCATCTCTAAATAATGCATCAGCAGCACTAAAGAAGGTTGGAGTAGTTGAATTAATCTTGGTAGCGTAGGTCTGTGTAGGCTCACCCCCTCAAGCACTAATGGCTAGGTACCTAGTTCCGTACAGGTACTGCCACACGTGCTTGATCTTAGAGAGGTGTATTGGTCCTAGGTTTGTAAGAAACCTTGCAAGGACAGAGTAAGCATGTGCTACATTAGGTTGAGTCATGACCTCAATGTACGCAAGATTGCCTACAAGGCGTTAGTAGGCCTTTGTGTTTAATAGCTCTAAAAGGCTATTGTAAGGCAATAGCCTTAAAGTAGAAGAGAGAGGCGTAGATAGGTATCTACTATTAGTACAGATAAGGTTGTACTTAGTGCAGACCTTATTAATGAAAGCATCCTGAATAAGGTAGAGCTGATGGCTAGCCAGGACGCGTTCAACTTGGATACTAAGGAACCATCTAACATCACTAATCTGGCGCAGGTTGTAGAGCTTAATTAGTTGCTGTTCAAGCTGCTAAAAGTCCTCCTAATAGTCTATGTAGTACAGGATAATAATATTGTCTACATAGAAGAAGAGAATAACCCTATTATTCATCCACAGGCATGGAAAGCCCTGAACAGGGTGTAGGCCTAGCTTTCGAAGCGATTCCTGGAAGTGGATTGCCCACAGGCGAGGAGCTTCCTTGAGGCCATAGAGAGCGCGTAGAAGTTGTAGTGTTTAACTGTATTTGTGCTGAAATCCATCTGGAGTTCTCACATATAGAGTACGATCTAGCAGAGCGTTAAGGAAGGCGTTTGGCACATCATATTGCATGGCCTTGAGGTTGAAGGCACAGGCAAGGGCCATAAGCGCTCAGAAAAGCCGTGCTGCTAGAGTGGCTGCGTAGGTATCGCCGTACTGCTCCTGCAGGTCCCCGCGCACTACAAGGCGAGCCTTGTATTTGAGTAGATAGCCATCCTCATCAAACTTGTAGGTAAAAACCCACATCAAAGGTACAGCGTCATCAATGTATAAGACTGTGATATCTGGTTTTGCGAAGGTGCCTTTGTTCCAGCAGTTACCAAACTCAGTATAGGCAGCAGCTGTAAACTGCTTCCCGTGTGGGTGGTGCTGGAGCTCCTTCCAGTGATGTGGTGGAGGAGGAAGATCATCTCAATGAAGGCGAGTAGGATCAGGCTTGATCCTAAGTTCTGAGGCAAGAGAAGTAGCCTCACGTGATTGCTGAATAATAGCAGCAAAGGCATAGTACTTAGTTAAAGGACTAGCCTTAATAAAGTGCGCCTAGCAGCGTCTTCTGCCAGTGATAATGTTGTCCTGTGAGAGATCTAGATCTCGTTGTTGAGGAGCGTTGTTCTGATGTTGATCTGGGACGTATGGCGCATGCGTGACTAGGTTAGGTGTAGCAGCTCTGATTATATCTAAGTCCTTATCAGGGTTCTTATTAGAGTTCTACCCCCTAGGTGTTATGTGCTGTGCAGCAGCAGAGGACTCCTGAAATAGCTGTTGCTTAGCCAGATTAGGACAGTCGTGAGAATCAGGTGTACTACGAGCAGTAGTAGTAGGAGAAGGCAGTTGCTGTACTTGCTTCTGTGCAGGAGTTAGAGCAACTGCAGCCTGTCGCTGCCGCACTAGCTGAGCGACGACGATAGTCTTACTATTGTATTCCTCCTCAGGAATGTGTGCAGTCTTAACAATATAAGACCTTGCAGGTAGAGCAGACAGCTTATCCTTGTAAAGCTCGTCTACAAAGCGTACGTCGCGTACGCGGATGACGCGATTTGTGGCTGGCAGCCATACTTGATAGATGTTCGAGGCGTCATAGCTGAGGAGGAATCCCTCAAAAGTGCGATCTTTGAGCTTATCTCCTCTAGCCAGGTGCTTGTTGAGCACAAATCCACGGCTTCTAATAGCGTGGAGTTGAGAGAGGTCTGGGCGGACGCCAGTGACCATCTTATGTGGTGTGCGCCAGTTGATAGATCTCGTAGGCGTGATGTTGAGCAGCCTTGCTGCTGTGCAGACTAGCTTGTTGGCCAACATCTTTGGTAGACCAGCATGGATACGAAGAACCCTAGCGACGGTAACAATGATAGCACCAGCTCGCTCAGCACCCCCCAGCTGTGCAGGAGTATCAGGAGACCTTGTCTTGACCTTGATGCCAGCTGATGAGAGGATCTCTTGAGCAGAAGAGCCTAAACTGGCCTCAGCTCGTCCATATCCTACGTCTCCGTCCATGAAGACTATAGCTACTTGGTAGCCATATACACGCTCAATCTTGTTGATGAGACGTGTGATTGCAGGAACGACAGTAGCCTTGTGTCAATCCTTGAGAGTACAGATCTCATGTAGTTTTGTGTACTCACATACTGCATGTAGTGCCTATACATCACTGTTGTAGCAGGCCTTGCCATGCTTTTAGAGCTAAATAATGTCCACAATAATGCAGTAGAAAGGGCAGTAAGCCTTGTCAGCTTAAGGACGTTAACTAATGTCTTCCTTCATCTTGCCCTTGATGCAAGGGATGCAAGAATCTGTCTATTGTTCTCCTTTTCTGTTAGTGCCTAATGTGAGGCCAGTTGTGGAGTTTTTAAGATGCTCGATAGCCTGATGGCTTGGATAGCCAAGCAGCTGATGAGCTTTTATCGCAGTGACAACTTGAGGTGATTTTGCTTGAGTAGAAGCAGCTGCCATAGCCTGAAAAGGCTGTTTGGCGTCTTGAGCTTTTAAGAACTAGTAACCTCTAATTTAATTAAGGTCTATAAAGAGAGATAGTGACTTATCCTCCCTAAAGAGCGTGTTTGTTATTAAATTGAAGTGGATCTTCTTACAGCAGCTTAGGCTGAAGATATTAGCTACATATCCTGGGATATATGCCACTTTCTTAAGCGTGATTGAGGCTGTCTGATTGCCCCTTTTTATGTTAAGAGTTACCTCTCCCTAGGCTTGTATCTGATACAAGTTACAGCCTGCTTGTACAGTGTCTTAAGAGGAAGGAAGCTTTGTCTGCTTCTAATTAGATCCTGCCTTGTTGCAGATATGAACGTCTGATCCAGGGTCCATGACCCATCAGTGCTGCAGCGATTGAGCGTGCAGCGATAGTGCAGTATTGGACTGCAGCAGCTGCAAGGGCTGCTTGAGACAGGCTGTATTGGACGCGTATCCATCGGAGCTACAGTCTGAAGCAGTATCGGCCTGATGAGCATGACGTGATGCGGAGTTTTTGCGTTTAGCTATCTCAGCCTTAGCTTTCTCTAGGTCGAACGTCCATCGTATGCCGGCGTCCTTGTAGGCCTTCTTGACCTTCTTAAGCGTATCCTTGTTTTGAAAGGATACAACAAGCTTAGATAAGGCCTTTGTGCTAGGCTCAAAGTCCTTAAACCTGCCTTTAGCCTCAGGATTGAGAGTGAAGCACTAGAGTACTGATGGGTGGAGCCCACAGACGCACGTTGATCGACCTGTTGATCAGTCCTTCTTCAGGTGATCGTTCGGCTTGGGCTCTGTGATGGACAGAGATGTAAAGCTTCCTAGTGGCTGAGTTGCGTTTTGGGCTGTAGGTACCGTTTGTTAATACTGGCTGATTAAATCCTGCAGGGTAGGAGTTGGCAGAAGGGCATTTGATTCGCCTTGCTCTATGGCGAGGAACTGGGCTTGAGCCCATGCCTCATCTCCTAAGTCCCGTACAGCATGGATGAATTGCCACTGTGCTTGGGTCTCTGTCATCTCTGGCATGCTCTCCTGAGCACATTGAGATGTGATCTGCGAGTATTCGTCCAGCCAGGCCTGGGTGCTCTGGTTCTTTGGCTTCTTCTGAATATCGCTGTACTTGGCAGCAAGCTCTAGCCTGCGCTGCTGGTCTGTGACCTTGAAATGCTTTCGGAGCGTCGTAAGCTGACTCCAAGGATTGTCGTGCTCTGCCCTATTAATGAGGTGGACGTGTGACGTAGCGACAGTGCGTAGGATCTCAAGATTGACCTCACCAATTACTTTTTAGATCAACTCCTGGCGTTTAGACTTGATCTCCCAGATCTTCCACTTGTCCGCTGAGGCCTTATCAGATGGCTCTGCAACAGGTGGTGGAGACAGAGTAGCTAAATCAGGATCGCAGTACTGCTATACGCCCTTGATCGTAGCGTATCGTCGTTTGGCAGCGTACCAAGGTATCCAGTCTGCGGAACCTTGTAGGATTGTAGTAGCTATAGTGGCAAAAGAGCTGCCTTGCTAATTAGCAGAGAAAATAAGGTAAAACCTTGAAGTGTGAGAACTAGTTCTCACGGCGTTGCGTAAATGCGACGACAGCAGGCGCGCAGCAACAGGAGGATTGCAGTGACAACGTGTACAACGTGTATAACAATTAAAAGTACTAGAGGCGTGGAGATGGCCTTAGTAGACAAGATATAATCTCAAAAGGTTGCGACAACAGCAGGCATGCAACAATAGGAGGATTGTAGGGACAACGTGTACTTCGTGTACAGCGTGTATAGCAATCAATTAAAAAAAAGGGTAAACAATCTTATTTGAGTATCGCAGCGTAGTGCGGGGATACTGGGCTCATAACTGTTAGATGTAGGAGCACAGGGTAGATACAAATGAGGCAGAAGGTTCTTGTATTGAGGGAGCTACAGCGAGCAATTATATACACAACCAGATAAGTAAGCAGGTGACTAACACAGTCACGTGAGGTGCAGTTCACAGTGTACCGTATGAACTAAGGTGCCAGGCTGACATATCTCTTCCACCTGCGTCGCAGGCGCTGGCGCGCTTGCCTCAATTAAGAGCGTTGCTTTTTCGCTAATAGAGCCGCCAGAGATGCCCTCTGAGCCCAGCCACTCGTCTAATGCTCTGCTCGCCTTGTGAGCACCAGGGTTTACCTTGACTATAAGCTCCAGCCAGATGTGCCAGTATCAGATGCGAAGATCGTTCTCCACCCACAAGTTAGTGATGACATCGTGCGGCATCAGACAGAGCATGCCCCAGCCCAGCTGCTTGGCTGCTTCGTACCAGCGAAGCGCCTGGTGCAGCCGCCTCTTGAATCGCTGTCGCTGCTGACAGTCCAACGTGGCAGTGACAGATAGCAGCAGGGCATCCATAGCCTCAGAGCTGACCTTGCCCCTGCCGCCTCGGTTCTTAGCATCCCTGCTGCAGGCGACGTCTTGCTCCTTGATCTGGTCCATCCTCTCAGTGTAGGCCTTGCCAAGGAAAGCCATGGCCCAGCGGTACTTGATATGGATGACATCCAGCTCCTGCTCGTAGCGATCGCACAGGCTCCAGGCCGAGGCAAGCGCGCTCTCTGGCACCGTCGAGGTGCTGCTCTTCTGCGACAGCGACCAGCGGCCGCGCGAGGAAGCGGGCGGGCGATTCTCCACAGACTCGTGCGCAAAGGGTGAGCCTTGTGTGCGCCAGCTCCGGAGGAAGGCAGCCGCAGAGGCCTGGGAGGTGGTGTTGCCGATGGAGCGGGCCTTGTCGAGCATGCCAGAAGCTGTCAGGTAAGGCGCTGCGGCACTGCTGTACAGTTTGTTGTCTTCGTCCACTAGCTATTTAAGGATCCATGAAATGAACAGCTCGTCCAGGCGCAAGATGGAGGCATAGGCACTGTGTTCCCTGCAGGATGCCGACATGGGTGGCGGTACCAACCTAAGATCCTGCTTCTTCTGCGCTTGTATGAGCTCCAGCTTCCTGGCGCGCTCCCGCTCAGCACAGCGGTTTTTATTAGAGACGCTTGTGATCTGGGCGGGTTCCTCCTGTCCAAGCTGTCCATGGACGGGCTCGTTGGGGTCCTCAGCCGCCTCAGCTTCGCTAGGCGGCTCCAGCTGCTCAGGATCCTCCGCTTCGTCCCCTGCTTCCAACGGCGTCGCAGGACTGGGGGAATGGGCGACTTGTCGGAGGCGCTTGAACGGCCGCGCTAAGCTGGACGCAGCAGCACGCTTTGTCGACGGTGGTGGGGAATCGCGGGGCTGCTGCGCTGAAGGGGGTTCCTGCTAGAAGTCATCGCTTGGGCTGCTGGCAAGATCCTGCGCTGCAGAGACCAGCTGGGCCCAAGCATTGGCAGGCAGCGCGTCCTTGGCGAGCGTCTCCTTCAGCAGCCAGATCGCCGACAGGACAGAGTGGGCAACCAAGACAGGCTTGCAGACACTCGTCTTGTTTAGAATCAGCCAGCCTGCGCTGTGCGGGCGGAATAGAGCATCACGCTGCGAGTCTGAGACAGTCGCCTTGCTCCAAAACAGCTTTTAGTAGTCCAGGTTCAGCGGGTTGTATGCGAGCCTGTGGGCAAAGCTCGACTCGCTGGCTAGCGGGAAGCTCCGGGGCCCGCCATCGAATTGCTCAGCGGCATCTTCCAGCGCGGAGATCTAGAGTAGATTAGATGGCGACATAACTGTTTGTTTGTTGATGTGGGAGATACAGCAGAAGAAGAAGGATGTTTGTTAGGTTCAGCCCCTAACTAGGGTAACAGACTAAACAGAGATCAGCCTATACAACATAAGTAGGCGCACAAGCTAGGGTGCAAAACTTAACATAGTTTAGAGATAAGAGCTATTGCCTTAAGGAAGAAAAACACACACAGAGGCTCGCAGAGGACTGCTAACATGTCAGAAGCCACTATTGAGCATTAGTACTTTGAGCACTTGGCTGAGTACTAGGTAGCAGTGTGCAAGGAGTGCTGGTACGCAGTATGGCCAGACCAGATTAAGAGCCACTTGCAGAAGCAACACAAGAGACCACCAAAAAACGTTAGAGCTGTAGGGGGTGCCGTCCGTTAGTGGGCGGGCTTGCTACAGTACCCCAGCGAGTGGACGGTACCAGACAACAACGTGCAGCCCATCCCCCAGCTGCCAGTATACGACGACGGCTTGCTGTGCCAACTTGAGCCTAAAAAATGCTGGCACATTGCAAGAACTATCAACTCAATCAAAAAGCACTGGCGCAAAGACCACAACAGCTGGTTGTTGGGAAAAAGGCAAGGACGCCCTAGCCGAACTTGGGCAGGGGCGTTGCAAGCCTAGATAGAAGACGGCTGCAAGCGCGTACACTGCCAGCAACTTTTTGGCAGCTAGCACAGATCACAGTACTTCGAGGTGCGTCACAACCCAGACAGCGGTCCGCAACCCGTCCCCACAGAGGGCGAGGCGGCGTGGGCGCGCGTAGGCGAGGAGATGGCCAAGACGTGGGCCAGCGTTGAGGACCAAGCGAAGACAACGATTGAAGACAGGGAGAAGGACGAAGCGGCCCCATGGCTGGAGCGGACTGGGTGGCTGCTGTACTTGAACAAACTGGATCGTCCTGAGTTGCTGGCAAGCATTGAGGAGCCCAACATAGACCCAGAGAAAGATGAGGAGCCTGTGGAGGCTGCGATTTGGAGCGCGATGGATGGACTGGCCTGCGTGAGCCAGATGTCCGTCATCAAGCGGACAGGCATATTTGTGCGCATGGAGGCCATTCGTATGGAGAAGCATCAGACCAGGTACACGCTGCTGTAGGCGTACATGGACAACAAGTTGATCAAAGAGCGATCACGCCTGTGGAAGCAGATACTGATGTTTTTTGCACGGACGCAGAGGGAGCACTGTTGGAAGAGCCCCAAGTACCGCTTCACACAGCAGCAGCGCGAGGCGTGGGAGGCGTTGGTCGAGCAGGCAGAGAGAGATGTTGGCAGGGCAGAGATGGAGGTAGCGGACGAGGACCAGGACAGGGACAAGGAGGAAGAGGAGGAGGAGGACGAGATGATGATTGATGAACTTGACGACAAGCAGGACCTGTCTGAGTGCAACAACAAGCCTGAGAACAAGCTCGAGAACGAGCCCAAGCACACAAAGCTGACGCTGATCAAGAAAGCGTGCTTGATGTTTTGCATTGCGCTGCTTGACCAGCGCATCCGCCGCAAGGAGTACGACTGCGCGTTGGTGTGTGCGTTGGCTGTGCTTGGCGTCAAAGAGGACAGCTGGAAGGACGCCGAGCTGTACCCGCTGATATTGTCGTTGGTGATCAAAATCACCTGTTTCATGGTTGTACAACACGCACTCGAGCTGTCTGAGCCGTTTGAAGAGGAGGTGTTCGACGACGACAGCGCGTACGGGGGGAGCGACAGCGGCAGCAGTAACCCCAGGCTGCGTCGACCAAAAGGCTGCTTGGAGTTTGTGCAGCAGATGATGGACAGGTTCATGGTACGAGGCAGCCACAGCCCAATGCAGTGGATGCTCGACTTGCGTACGTACGGGCTGAAGGTGCATTTCAACACCACCGCGCGAGGGAACGTCGAGTGGATGGGTAGGGACGAGCTGCTGTACAAGAACGTGCACTTCACCATGGCCCAGTTCCGCAGCATGGTGCACGGGATGCAAGCAGAGAGCAAGCGGATGCTGGTTAAGGAGCTGCTGTTTTGCAATAGGCAGACAGCAGATCAAGTCCCCTAGATTCTGTGGGAGCAGCTGCGCGACAACCCAACCAACAATTAACCTAGGTAGAACTTTTTAAAAGACCAGCGCACCTGCATGCCTGTGGATAGAGAGAGGTAGTTGTTTGAACAAGTAGGGCAAGACGCTATAATGCAGGAGCGGTTTATTAAGCCAGCTACCTGTTCTAGGATTAACAGGAATAAAGTAGAGCAGTACATAGACTATGTAGTTGCGTTTAGGGAGAAGCTGCTTGCGCTTATGCACATAACAGCAGGACAACCCACACAGGCAACTAAGATATTAAGCGTCTGACACAGCAACACAATTAAGGGTAGGCACCACAACATATTCATTAAGGACAGCATAGTCGTGTTTATCACACAATACCACAAGGGGTACGCCATCAGCAGCAATGTTAAGATCATCTATTAGTACTTGCCGCGCGAGGTGGGTAAGCTGCTGGTGTGGTACGTATAGTTGGTGCTGCCGTTCCAGCAGCGATTGGAGGCAATAGTGTGGGAGAAGGAGGCGATTTCATCCTACTTGTGGCCCACCAACCTGAACGGACGCAAATAGACTTTAGAGCGTGTGCAGGAGACGTTGAAGCGCAAGAGTCAAATTAGGCTCAAACAAGAGTTGACGATTGCAGTGTACTGTGAGATCACCATTGGCATCAGCTGGCGATTTTTGCGCGGCTCAACAGCGTTCGCCGCTGAGGAAGGCAAGGAAAACAAGGAGTGGAAGGAGGAGAACATGGCGGCCATTATTCAAGACAAGCAGTCCAGACACACGTCGCACGTAGCGGGTATGGTGTACGCACGCGGCATCATGGAGATGGCAGGTGTCACAGCCAACAGAAGGCAGCTGTTCTGCAACTCGAGCACAGATTAGCACCAATTTTTGGGTTTTCAGTCTGCCGTAGACGCATCGGCAGACGTGAAGAAGCGGAAGAAGGCGCCGTTTGAGAGCGAGGCCGACGAGGCGAGGATAGAGAGGCTGGAGCGGCTGAGGAAGGTGGACCTAGCCAAGATAAGGGCGCGGGGAGGACACCGAACCGCGGCAAAAGAGGCTTAGCGTTAGGGTTTGACCCCTTTTAAGCGATCTGCTTTGGTGG